CCCCTCACCTAGATACTGCATTTCTGGTGAACAAGATCCATAAATCTTCAAATCAAAAAAATTTAAAAGCAAGTATGTTCTTTGCTTCATTAAAAACATTTGTCTTTTCTGCCCAGACTAGTACTCTTCATATTTCAGTGATTCAACGATTTCTTGTTCAAAATAAGATACTTCCGGGAAAATAAGTGAGACTATTATAAAATAAGTAGATACAATCACCAAGCTTAAATCCTAGAAAATACTGCTTTGTACACTATTGGAGTGACAGGTCTCATATGCATGCCTTACTTGTGGTTTTTGGCAGACATAAAATGGCTTTAATTCATCAAAGTTTTTATCTTGTATAAATCTCATAAAAAATAGCTGATATTCTTGCATCTTTTCAGATTTTTTTTAAAGAAGATATAAATAGCTTGATATTTAGCTAGAATGCTGGGTTGTCACATTGCCAAGAACTCATAAATCCTCCACTGTAACTGCCATGTGAGAGTCACATCAGAGAATCTCACTGTGATAACACAAGACCAAGATGATAGCACAGAAATGAGGACTGCAGGGAGCTCCGATTCCAAACTGGACTCTACTTCCTAATCGAGTTGATTCGCACGTCCCTGCACCTCCCAGCCCTCGCCCAGCAGAAGCAACAGGAACTGAAGTGGGCAGGAAACAGTGGCCATCGTCCACGGCAGAAGCTTTTGAAAGACCTGTCCATGTGAGGACCTGGGAGTCCACCGGCCTGGATCAGCATTTCCCAGGTGTCAGTGAGCGAGCTCCCTCAAGTCCAGCCCCTTCTCGTGTCCAGGAACACGGCGACGCCCCCAGGGCGATATGAAGACCCGAGGACCCACTGCCAGGCCGAGGGCAGCTCTGCAGGGCCTGCTGGACAATACCGCACTGTTCCCAGGAGCCCGTGAGCTCCACGGCTCTCATGCACAGCCGGGCCCTGGGCTCCTGTCCCTCCACGATCCTCCTTTTGGGGTTCAGTCACTTTCTGCAGCGGTGGCTCTCCGACCTCCCTCCTCAGGATTCTGGGGTGCTGCGGGTGCTTCCCGCTTTGCCCCCTGTTCTCTTGGAGGGGGCCGAGGGAAGACGCAGAAGCCACCTGCCCTCTGCACTTGGTTCCCAAACTCACTGTCACAGACGTTGAGGAAGAGACCCTGCTGCCACTGCCACTCGCAGGACTGACCCCCGGGACTCGCTGAAACACTAACTAGCTGAGGCTCCTCTCAGCGGGGCAGACAGAGTCGGGCTCCAGGGACGCCTGCAGGTCTTCCTGAGCTCCCCGCCAGGGTGCACTTGGGCGCTCGGAACCTGCTCCTCCCACAGCTTCCAGGCAGGTCCCTGCCCCTCTGGCGGCCAGCGCCACCTACAGGCACACCAGGGTGCTTCTAAGCCATCGGCCGCTAGTGACTCAACGCGGCAGTCCTTTCTTGGTTTCCTGGTAAGTAGTGGAAAGAAGAGGGTCAGGGGCTCTGCTGGTGACCTCGGGTCCCGGCTGGCTGGTTACGACTGAGGACTTGCCACGTGGCTGCTGGGCTCCCTCAGAAGCTGCCAGTTCTGGCTTCTTTTAAAACAGTAGGTGACGCTGATCCTCCATCACAGTCTTCCAACACCCTCCAGGGTCCCCCTGCTTCCAGCTTCTGCAGCCAGGAGGCGGCGCCCCAGGTTATGGGCTCCATTCTGGGAGTCACGAGGAAGCAGTGACTCCCGAGTCCTGGCCAGGCCTCTAAACTGGGATCTCAAGATCTCCACAAGAGAGGAGAGGTGGACACACAGGCAGACGGCCCTGAGGTCTGGAGTCAGGCGGAGGCTGCCGCTGGCCCGTGACATTTATACCACCACCGCCACGCCTGCGCACGCCTAGCGCTTCTCTTTCTTCCTGTCCTCTGGAGACGGATTCTCTCTGGACGTAATTTCAGCTGGGCCACACAAATCTGGAAAGAGGAAGGGCGCCAGGCGCTCCATCCCATGAATGGCTGGTGTGAGTGGACGGTCCAGAAACCAGTCGTTACGGCAACGAGGCCAGGGCAGGAGACCCGGGCCGGCACCAGGGAGAGGCTCAGGGCCCTGCAGGCTCTCAGGGAGGGCCCCAGCCACAGGACCTGCCGCTGACCCCAACTTCATCAGACCTGCCGGCCAGCAGTGCCGTCACACATTCTGCAATCAAATCCAAGTCACAGGCCACCAGAATGGCTACTGCCACAGGCCCCCAAGCACACGCTACCAAGGTGAGGAGCACTGGGTACTTGGGATGGCCACATGGAGGTGTGGGACATGTCATGAGGCAGATGTTCCTCTATCACGGGACCTGGCACATCCCCTGCTGGACATGCTCCCACAAGAAACAGAGTCCAGTCCACAGGACGCGCTTGGCAGACACAGACAGCAGGTTCTCCAGAACTTAAAAAAATAGAAAAACACTCCACTGTCTACCAACTCATGAGATGAACAGGTCACGGTCCTTACCCATACCCCGGAGGGGCCAGCCGGCCACAGGAGGGTGCACTGCCGCCCTGCCACCCCATGCAGGAATCTCCATGGGTCCATGCTGTGGCACCCTAAAACCAGCAAACACAGCCCCAAAGCAGACCAGACACTGTGGTGGGGTGGGGGGCGAGGAGGCACAGCTCTGGGGTGATGGGGCGGTGGCACTCCAGGTGGTGGGGTTTCCTGACTGTATGCTCATCTGCCCAGTCTCATCAGCCACGCTGACAGTGGGCGAGTGCCTTGCATGTGAGTCCTACCTGGACTCTGCAGGGCGTGGGGCTGTTGGCCGACTAAGTCGTCCTCATGGGCAGCTGGTGGGTAAAGAGGACATTTCTAAGCAAGGAGCTGCCTCACTTCACCCTAGTGACCCTGCTGACCCTTCTCCTGGGTGGCCTGGACCCACTGTGGAGAGGCCATTCTGGCTACCTAGAAAGAGAAGTTCAGCCAGAGCAGGGTTTGGGCTAAATCCTTTCACCAGCACGAAGGAGTCTTGGGAGCCAAGATTTTAAGCTAAAAGCTGAATGTGGTCTTCAAAAGTGTACAGAATCAGTCTGGCCCATAACCAGGGCTGACAGATGGAATGCAAATAAACTCAGGTTCCGATGCCAACAGATAGCCTGTCGGCGTGACTGTGCCCCAGGTCCTGTGTGGCACATGTCCCCCCGCCCACAGTACCCCCGTCATGGGTCCACGTAAGGCCTTGGATTTTATTTATTCTCCCCCGGCTGACCTGATGAACCTCGCCTGCCTGTCAAGGCTGCAGGTATTTTTAGGAACTTCTGCTGGACCTTCCTCTTAAGAAACTGCAGCTGAAGAAACATGCAGGTGCTGAAGATGTGGACTCTGGGCAGTGACTGCCACAGGACTTTATCAACCACAGGGCGACCACTGACCCAGGGCATCGCCACCTGGGTCCTCATTGGAAAAGAAGCTGGGGTTCCACCCGGACCTCTGGAGCGCAGAGTCTGCACTGGGCAGGATGGATAGGCAATTCCTGTGCCGTGGCAACTGCAGAAGCACCGGTTCAGAAGACCATGTGCTGGAGAAGTCCCAGGGCAGGGACACCCAGAGTGCTCTGAGGGGAACGCGCTGTGGAAGTGAAGCCCCTCACAGGGACGTCTGGAACGCACAGGCGCTGCCCAAAGATGCCACCTGCCGCGCAGCAGCAAAATGAACACAACTGAAGCGAGACTCCCGGGCCACGTCAGCACACCTGGTTCCAACTGGGCGACAGGACAGAGACGCAGAACCCGAGCAGACAGACCGATGAGGAGGGCAGCCGTGTGGATCTGCATGTGACTCACACGGGCCGTGTCAGCTCCAGCCGGGCCCTCCTGGCCTGGCCCACTGGGCCCTGACGCTCCTGCACGGCCCGCCCTCAGTAGGGTGCTCCCATCTGACCCTGGTCTGGGCAAGACTGAGATCCAGAGTCTGAAGTACACTTCCTAGCAAAGGTGCGTGGCTTTTGCACCTACGTGAGTCAAAGCCCCGCCGTCAGAGGGTGGCCAGTGGGACTGCACTTCCAAGGACGGGGGTGGGCCCCCAGGAAGCACGGCACGGGGCAGGGCTCCAGGGGCAGCCTGCTGCGCACTCGGCCACGGCTCTAGGACGGCCTGGGCTTCCAGGGGACTCCAGCGTCCAGACCCTGGCCGAGGGACTCGAGTTAACTGGTGTCACAGGAAACTCTACGCGTCGGCCACCGGGAGGACTGGCCAACAGTCCTTCTGTGTGGGTCGGAGACAGGTTTTCAGAGGGAGAGCGCAGGAGTCAGGGCTGCCGAGAGGAGACCCTCCCACCCGCCAGGGCAGGCACCTCCAATCCACCTCGCGCCCCAGGGAAGAAGAGCAGAGGGGGGGTCCTGCCATGGGGCTCACAGACTCCAGGGACGGGGACGGCACTCACCAGCAGCCTCCCTCCTCAGGGCCGAGCCCGTGGACAACCCCTGACAAGTCCCCCCGTCCTCCGAGACGCTGCAGACGCACGTGCGGCAGAGCCGGGAACACACAGCCCAGGGCTCAGCTTATCTGAGGCTCTGTCCACTGTCTTTTCAAGTAAATACAAAGCGATGCCGTCTCTCAGAATCCACAGACTGACACGATTCACACTGAAATCTACAGCTGGAATTAGCTACCCTTTCTGTTTTCTCAAAATCTCAACTTGAATCCAAAGGTCAACTAATGATCATCACAGCTGAACGATCATTTACGATGAAGACTTATTCCCATCACAGCTCGGTCAGTCCTCTAAGGTAGAACAGGTGCCTGGAGAGGGCAGGCAGGAAACAGCACGTATGACATTTGTTCTAGTCAGAGGCCACAGTGACGCCATCAGGATTCATCCTGGCAACCGAGGGCTCAGTGGGGACACCAAGCTGAACACCGAGCAGGACTTCGGGCACCTGCACGTGTCACTGCCGTATCGTTTCACTCATATGCAAGGTAGAAAATATGTATATTTATATTCAAAGAGAAAAGTACTTCCAAATGACCTTTAAAAATGAAAACCTGCCTTACCTCCTCCCTGTGGTTCTTAATTGGCATACAGAGAATACTCTGGGTCCTGTAGCCCGTGATTTGGTCGACTTCTGCATTGAACCGGGGATCCTAGGGAGGAAAGAGAAATTCAATTTGATGACTGATCTGTACAAAGACTGATGGGATTTCTCTAACTTATTAGATCAGAGAATCTAACCTTCGACTTAGCTGGCCGCACTGAGTAAAAATGTCACCATGTGGCAGGCAGACAGTCACGTGAACACTGCCATTCTTTGACAAAGATGAATCCAAGATTTTTTTAGCATCTAGTGTTTATGAGAAACCAACAACGACCAAACAAAAAAAACAAAACAAAAAAACCAAACTGAGACTTTTAAAAAGAAAGGAAATTAAAAGTACTATTTAGATAATCTCACAATTCAGGAAAAATTGGTGGCTGTCACCTCTGTGACACCATCTGCCAGTCCCTGCTGTCTCGCCGCCTGGTTTTGCTGAGCCATCCAGAGAGCACAGCTCTGGAGCGCCCCTGGGACCTGCGGCCTCAGAGCCTGCACCAACCTCCCCTGCGGAGGCCGCTCCCCTGCTGGCCTCCGGGGCCTCTACCTGAAGGGCTCATGAGAATCTAACTTTCTGTGTGTGCAAAAGGGTGCGTGGATGGACTTGTACGACTCCTCTGGCTCTCTTTCCCCTTCTACAAAGCACGTTGTGCACATCTAAGAACCACAGAGGACCTTCGTGGGGGTGTGGAAGTGCTGAATGTGGTGACGGATGGAGACCAGCGGGCAATTTCTCCACCAGGCTTTAGAGTAGGAGACCTGAAATCAGGCTGCAGGCTCCAGGAGGGATCCACTATCAGATGACGGCCGCGATCCAGGGTGATCAGGAAGGAAACCCACAGCACCGGGCTCGAGTGAGACCAGAAGGAAGCAGACGTGCAGGACACAGCCCTCCGCATCTCTGCACCTGGAACCCCCTCCCGGGAACGTGGCCGGCCCACCTGGGAAAACCACCCTTTGAAGGTCACATGTGCGTATTAATCTGAAGTCAGGCACAGGCAGAGCTGTGGCGGGAAGGCCACTGCATGAGCGTGCGCCAAATGGGGTCAGAAACGAGGCCAGTTCTCCCCCGAGAGGCCACACTTGGCTTTAAAGACGATTTCAAAAGAAAAGTTATAAAACGACAGAGTCCTATAAACACTTACTTCATTTTTGCTTTTTTTTCCCCAAACATGCTCAAGATTATATTAACTAAGATACACAAAAGCCTTAGCTAAATATCTCTTAAAAATAGTTCCTATTTATCTTTGGATCTTCAGGTGTCCTTCAACTGCAAGGGAAAGGAGAGGAGGCAGATCCCGAGACGACGGATCACAGAAGTGAGGAGCGAGTGACGAGGAGCAAGTCATTCTACAGACTTACAAAATAAGAAGGGCAAAAATGCACCTTCTGTAGCCAATTTTCAACAAACATTACAATTGTGAGACCAATTTACAAGCAGAGGACTGGACCAGTGGAGGCCGGGGACTCTGTGAAGTCAGGCGGACGGCGTGGCTCCTGGGTGTCACGGCGACGTTCACCTCAGGGGAAATCCTGGAGGCTGCCCTCCAAGGAGGAGGGTGGGATAAACACACCCCTCAAATGCATTCTACCTGGAGGCCAGACTCGGTACTGCAAGGAAAAGTGTCCTTCACCAACGAGGGCAGCACAGAGGGACCCACGCAGAGGATGGCTCACTCCTCCAGGCCAGGGAACGAAGGGAAAATGGAACTCTGCCGCCCCAGATGACAGCGGACCCCCGCTGGGTGCCCCCTCCGCAGGCCGCACACTCACAGGTACTGGACGCGCCCTCCCGAGAAGACCACCGCCATCCCAGACGGAGCTGCAGCCGAGGCAGAGGGGACACGTGGCCACCTCACAGCAATAGCTTTGTGCCCGGGACGCTCCTGTCTTGGAGAAGCAGCTGCTGCCCACGGAGAAGACCTGAGACAGCGCCAACCTCCGCGGCTGGAACTTGTGAACTAAAGAGAGACGTGAGCTGAGGGCGAGGCAGGAGCAATCCAGGTGGCAGAAGCAGGAGTGGCCAGTCCCCTTGGACATGGCAGGGCCAAGCACTGAGAGGACAAGCAACGTGGCCTGCTGAGGGCCGAGGGCTGACGCCCGGCAGGGAAGGGCCTGTGGACAGCGACCCTCAGCGAGGGCAGGGCAGGCCACTCCTGGGGAGCGCGGATCACACCCCGTGTGGGTGCTCCTGAGGCCAGTTCAGAACCGGAGCTCACCCTCCCCAACAAATAATAAGTCGGAGCCTGGCAGGATCAAATGATGTGCCCCAATTCCACTTCCTGCCAGAAGCCCAAGGGCCCTGCACGGCAGGCACCCAGGGTGTACCCACAGTCACAGCCCCTGAGGACAGGAAAACCAACCCCACGGAAAGAGAAGGAGTCGACAGAATGGCCCCCGATGGCCAGTGCTGGACCTAATAGACGAGGCTTCACAGCACCTTGACAAACAGACCTAAGGACTTAGGAGAAACAGGGTACGATCAGGCACAGGGGACTCTCAATGAAAGGGAGACAGCTACGCGGGAATTCTAGAACCGAAAACCCGTGAGACGAAAGGTTCCCTGATGAATTAGCAGACTGGAGACGGGGAAAACGGGTCCAAGAGTGACCGCGGTCCAGCGGGAGGCACTGTTCAGAGGACTAGGGGGTGACACACAGAAGGTGCTGGTCTTGTGCTTCCAGGACCTACATACCCCGAGTCCCAAAGAGAAGGCTGAAGAGGGCATCAGGTCGTGATGGGAAGTTCCCAAAGTTGGGGAAGCCTTCAGCTTATTCTCCCAGTGAGAAAGCCATCCAGGGGGAAGCACAGAGGTGCAGACGGAGGACAACTGGATGCCCCCGGGGAGACTGAAGTGCAGGAACAAACAGGAAACCCATCTGAAGTGCTGACAGAAAACCGCCCTCAGCTGAGATTCGTGGTGCAGTGAAAGTGTCCAAAAGCGCAAGCCAACAGCAGCATTTCCAGATGAACTGACCCGCCTCTGTCACCACCAGATCCAAGACGTGCCAGAGCGGCTCTCCACCTGAAGGGCAGCGGGCAGGGACTGCAGAGGGCAGAGCGGGCAGCTGGCTTGTGCAGGAGGTGAGGTCTAGGAACGAGGGAGCCGCAGCCTGCTCCGTGGAGCGGGAGGTACCAGAGAAAAGGAGAGGAAATCACGCGCCCCGCGCCGGGCTGAAGCTGGAGCCTCAGGAGGATGGGCCCTCGCTATGGGGTAAGCAGAGGCCCGGGAACGGGCTGCAGGTGCACACTGTGCTTCACGTCTTCTCCCAGTTGTCTCCTGACACACCCACAACACGAGCAGGGGCCAGAGCCATGAGCACGTCTGGCGCCGCCATCTTGGTCTCTAAACCCCACTCCCTGCACCAAAGGAGCCAGGTCCCCTGAGCAAAAGAACAGACTCAAACGTCTGGATGAGCAGAAAGTGGAGGAGAGAGACGTCGGCAGATCCGATGTGAGCTGAGCCCCAGGACAGACAAAGGAGCAGCAGGCCGAGTTCAGAAGGTGAGCCCCACTGAGTGAGCCTTGAAGGGGAGGAGGAAGCCAGGAATGAACCAGAAGGCATCTGGAGTGAGGAAATCATGGCGGCCAGCGCGTATCCGCAGGCCAGATTCGAGGTCACGGGCACCAGGTGAACCCCAGAGACAAACCTGGCACAGACCTCCTTCTAAATCCGAGGTGATTTCCCTGGAGACAGTTGTGTTTTATAATTGTGACAAGCCGCTTCCAACCAGACCTGAGTCCCTGCTGACAAGATGACTGACTGGGGTGTGGGGTGAGCAGAGAGCCGACCGGAGCTTTGGCCTGGGGCCCAGCACCAGGAAACCAGCCAGGTGAGTGCTGGCCCGGCTGCTGGGAGGAAGGAGGGCCTGGGACTGCAGCGCCCAGGGCCAAGGATTCAATCAGTCTTGCCTGATTAGACGAAGCCTCAGCCAGAACTGGGGCGAGCTGGGAGCTCTGCGGCCTGCGGCCACCTCTCCCACCTGGCTGCGGCTCAGGTGCAGCCTCTGTGACAGAACTGCCCTCCAGTGGAGAGCTTCCCTGGGTCCATGAGCCGCGGCAGTGACCACTGAGCCCAAGGGGGGCTCAGTGGGGGGCTCTAAGCTGCGGTCAGCTGGAGGGAGGGCAGGGAGCTGTGGACCCACTGAGGAGGCACCCGGAGTCAAGCAGGGTCCCCGCCAACTGCAGAAAGCGTGGGAACTGAGAGGGACAGCAGAACCGCTGGTGCTGGAGAACCAAGCAGGGTCCTGACGTCCACCTCTGTGGCCCAGCCTGAGTCTGCGTGAAGGGCGTCCCACAGAGCTGCTGCCCGTACCCCTCGGAGTGTCTCAGGAGAGAAAATGGAGAGGCTGGGCACTGCTCTGGGCTGACAGATGACCAAAGAGACACCACGACCCTGGATCCTGTCAAGGTCCAGCTAAGAAGGAGACGTAACTCCTCGTGGGTGATCCACTAGTGGGACCCTGGGTCAGGAGCTGGGCGGCTCCGGCTCCGTGGGTGCACCGGCTCTCGGCACCTGGCGAGCCTCTTCTGTGCCGTGACACTCTCTCGTCTTGTCACTGACCGGAGCTCCCAGGTCTTCCCACAGCTGGGCCCTGCATGCCCCTGGGCTGCCCGGCTGATGGGTGAGTGGGGACAGTGTGCACCTGTGGTCTCTGCAGCTGGACTCAGTGGTGGATCTGGTCTTACACATCTGTGACCTGTGTCATTTTGTCAGTAATAAAATTGCTGCATTTACAAATCTGTGTCATTTTGTATCATTTTCTATTATGGGCTTGAAAAAGTGAACCAAATATTGATGATTTCTTACAATTAATCTGAGATTATGTTCTTGATTCTTGCCTTCAAGCTGAGCACTATTCTATTTCATGGTCACTTCTTGCTTTTCCATGGCTATGTCACAACCTTTCAAAGGTCCTGTGGTCAAGTAAGTTCAAGGAATATGGCTACAGAGCACCACCCCTTTTACAGCTGCAAGTTGACAGAAGGAGGACTCAGAAAGCCTCAGAACGCATCTTCATATTCTGACGACTTTCACAGACTGTGAGACTGGCTGGATGTGGTGACACATGACAGTAATCCCAGCAGCTTGGGAGGCTGAGACAGGAGGATCACCAGTTCAAGGACAGACTCAGCAACTTAGCAAGACCTGGTCTCAAAATAAAAAGTGAAGAGGGCTGGGGATGTAGCTCCATGGCAGAACTCCCCTGGGTCAGTCCCCAGGAGGGAGGGAGGGAAGGAAGGAAGGAAGGAAGGAAGGAAGGAAGGAAGGAAGGAAGGAAGGAAGGAAGGAAGGAGGGAAGGAAGGAGGGAGGGAGGGAAGGAAGGAAGGAAGGAAGGAAGGAGGGAAGGAAAGCTACGGGATGGTGTTTTGATTATTCGAGTCATGGTGGGGCTGAGGGACTTCCCGTGCCAGGGAAACTAGAACAGCCCCAGCCCCACAGCTCAGCAGGAGCCTCTTGGCTGCTACAGCTTCTGTGGGCCACGGCACACATGGGTAGAGGGCACTGAGGGTGAAGTCCACAGACCTGTTAGAAGGCAGCACCACTGCTAACCACATTAACCACATTAACAGCAGCAGGAGTCCACAGGGGCCCTAGAGTGTGGCAGCGGGAGCTGGCACCCCTCAGCCCGCCCCAGGGCTGCAGTGTCCACCAAGATGCCCTGCCTAGAAAGCATTCAGAACAGAAACGGGAAACCTGAGGACTCTGAAGAGTGACCTGTGAATCCAGAAAGGCCTGAGAATCGCTGTAGCAAAATGAGAACTGTCAAATCTGTCCACTGCAACCCCTTAGAGCAAAAATCTCCATCTTCAAAAAGACATTCGTAACCTTGTTAAAAGAGAGGGTGGAGGGAGAGAAACCACTCTGTTATCACGGGGGCCTGAAGGAGGGGTATGACTGAAGCAAAGCCCAGGGTGGGGGCTGGCATGTCTGCACCTGTCACCTCAGAACCTCAGAAGGGCCTGAGCTCTCGCACGTGGAGACGGCACAGACCAGGACGAGCGTGACAAGGCCAAGAGGGGCGCGTCCCCTCACGCTCTGTGGGGGAAGGACAGGCCAGTCCCTCAGGCCCGTCTCCGGGGACCCCGGGAGCCGCTGAGGTGCTGGGGCCTTTGAAAGGCAGGACAGCCCCGCCCCCAGCCCTCCGCAGCCGCCGCCCGCCGCCCGCCGTGGCCGCTCTGCCCTGGTACCTCGTAGGCATCCTTGATGTTCAGGGGCTCGCCCAGCGCGGCCACGTGCCCCACGATGCCTTTGTTCCACTCCAGGCGGATGCAGCTGTTGGAGGCCTCCTCCAGCGTCGTCCCCTCGGCGACATCGAAGAGCCGGCTGACCAGGAACTTGTCGTTGGAGCTGTCCTCGCACACGAGGAACAGGGAGTAGCGGTCAGCCGCGATGAGCCCGTGGATGTGCAGGAAGATCTTGTGGCACAGGGCCGTGACGTCCAGGTGGCTGGAAATGTCCTTCACTAACTCCAGGAGCCTGGAGCACTGGTCCCCTTCGTCACTGTCGAAGCGTGGGGGGGTGAGAGGCATCTGCTCCTGCTTCCCGGGGTCGGACAGGAAGCTCACGGCGCCCTCCGAGTCCTTGACGAGGATGGGTCTCAGGGGCCTGTCGAACTCCGAGGCAGAGATCTTCCTGGCTGGTGTCCCAGGGGCACTGCTGTCGGCGCGGGGACTGGGCGGCAAGGGGCACGAGCAAGACTCGGGGTGGCCTCGGGCGCCGTCCCTGCCCACGGGGATGGCGTGCACTCTCTCAGCAAACCACGCGTTGACCATTTCCCTGCGGGAAGCACAGGCACACGTCAGGCGGGGGGTGGGCAGTGCCTGGAGGACTCCCAGCGCAGGGAGCAGGCACTCGCTGTCCTGCACCTGGGGAAGAGGCCAGCAGGCAGTGTCCACCAACTTTAAAGGCCCTGCCCCTCACCACGGAGCCTGCCCACGTGTGCCAAGTGCAAGGCAGGCACCTGGCACTGTCTGCACAAGGAGGGGAAGGAGCTACCTGATGCCCTGGCTGGAGGCTGACTGGTCACCCAGTGGGCGCCCACCTGCCCCATCTCCACAGGCAACAGAACATGTTCTTAGCATGTGCTTAGAGTGTGCTTAGCATGCTCAAGGCCCAGGCTCACGTGAACATGTCGGACACAAGGGGAAAAGCAGCAGGTGGGAGTCAAGAAGGGGGCTCTGACCAGGTGGTACTTCCCTGTGTATACTTCCCTCCTCTTTCTGGACTCCAGGGGATTCAGAAGAACACCCCATTCCAGACACAGAAGCCAACATCATCACTTATTTGGACCCGGAGAGGCCGATGCTGCCAGGCCTCTGTCTCAATCCCGAGGCTGACTTCAGTGGCCGAGCTGACCACAGCTGCCCTGCAGAGCCAGGACCAAAGCCGAGTCTCCGGTGGACGCAAGTTCCAGGGGCACCGACGCCAGCCCCCAAGACGGCCCCAGAACCCACCAAGCTGGAGAGCCAAGATCAGCTGTGCGCAGAGGAGGACGCAGGGGAACGGTCGGCCCCGCGCACCTCTGCACAGGAGCCCCGCCCTCAGACACTTTTCACTCGCACTGCACCGCTGTCCCCAAGCGTCAGAGACGGGGACTCCTGGGGATGGAGTCCGAATGGTGCTCTGAAACTGGGTCACGGTTATCAACTGAGAGCCACGCATGAAGGGGCGTGTGATGAGCACCCGAGGGCTGGCCCCAGGTCACCGGGCCCAGCACAGAGCAGCGCAGGGTGCGCGCTGGGTTCAGACACAGGCCGAGTCCTCAGCCTAGCCGGGTGTCCTGTCCTCGCCCTGGCCACGCCAGCCATCCTACACTGACCGCTTCTCGTGAAATCGCTGGCTTCAGACAACAAAGAAGAGGTAGTTCCAGGCTCCCACAGCCCACCCAGAGCCCCAGGCCACCGCGTGACCAGCCACCCACGCTGTGACCCTGAGTGATGACCAGGGCTTCTCGAAGTCCTCGGATTAATAAGCTCTGGTAAAACTAGAGCATAAATTTCTCCTTAAACCCAGCTCTTCGCTCCCCAGACCACATCATAGAGGAGATCCCACAGCCAGGGTGGGGTCACCTGCCATCTTCCCACCAGAGAGGAAAGTGTCCACTGCTGGACGTCCCGGGCTTCCCCTCGGCATCTTCCGCTGGGAGCCTCAGGGTCATCCTTGATGAACTGGGACCTGCTGACCGTCCCCACCCCTCACCAAGTTCCAGGTTCTGACCCCCTCAATCAAGATGTCCAGGCCAGCCAGCAGGGTGACCCCTAGCTCAGCCACGAGGCTGCAGACCTGAGGGCTGGACACGCACAGCTTCTCTGGAGGTCCAGCTCTGTGGTGGTGACCCTACTGCTGTGCCAGCTGGCCCTGGAGACCCATGCAGCCTCGCGGTCAAGGGGCCAGCAGGTGGCCTCCAGCAGGCGACCCCCTCAGCCTCCAGGCGTGGGAACCCTTTCAAACTCCTTCCCAGAAGTCAACGTCACAGCTAAGCCGAGAGCACAGGGTCACCACCTGTGAGGGTCGGCCATCCCCACGCCCCGCTCGCTCCCTGGAGGCGGAGGGCTGGGTAAGGGGCAGCACTGTTCATTCCTTCCTGAGGCTCAGCCAAGACAATCAGGGCTCGCGAGCCCCAGGCAGGGCGGACTGGCGCGGTCCGTAGGGCTTGCCCACACACCACGAGTGCCCAGGGGCTCGCCACGGCAGGTGCCTGGGAAGGCCCTTCTGTCCATCCCTCCAATTGGAGGGGAGGGGAGCTCTTCTTTTAAAGAAGTGGTATTTAAATCACTCATCTGAGCAAACAGAATGGAGCAGACACAAGCTCCACGAGGTACTCCGCCCTTTGCGACAAGCACTGGTGATGCGCAGTGATTCTGAGAGTAAGCTGGTCTTCACCCACTGCCCTGCCGACCTGGGAGCCATCAGAGAGCACGGCGGCTTGAAGTCCCTCGGCTGACGCAGCTTTCACAGGCTCTTCAAAAAGGACAACGGGCCCTGGACACTCAAGGCCAGCCCTGGCCAGGGGCGATGCCATGAAAATCCATGCCAGAGCTTTGTCACCCACGCCCAGAGCCTGGTGCTGAGCACCCTGCGAAGGTCCCTCTCCTCCACACTCTGCCGTATGCCCGTCCCTGGCTCCTTGTGCTACAGCACCACACCCTGTCTCCCACCTACTAACGAGCTGCACCCCACGGCTGTTTGACATGGGATCACCTTGTTTCCCAACTTTCTGAAGACGTCCTGGGCTTGGGGGGAGCTCGGCCACAGTACAGGCCATGAGGAACCCTTCCCACGGGGGCACAACCTCCCAAAGACGCAGGCCCAGTCCAGGAGCAGGAGAACCCACCTGCAGGTGTCCTGTGGTGATTGAGACCCTGAGTCTCGAATCTTTTCCAAGATGGGTCTGATCCCATCTGAGTGCTCATCCTGCCCTTCCACTCCAGGACGACTCTAGCAGCCCAGCCTGCTCATGGGGCCAGGACTGAGAACAAACACCTGCACCCCAGGAGCTCACCGGTCTCTTCCCAAGGCCTCCCAGGGCACAGCAGCACCGCATCCTTCAGGATCAGGGCCTGGGTGCAGACCCCGGGAAGCCGGCAGGTCCCCACACTAGCTGCCCCAAGCTGGGCATCAGGGGGTTGGACACTCAGATGACGCGGCCAATGGTGGCTGATAACACAGGATCAAGGGAATCCCAGGGATGGGAAGCTTGAGTGTTTTCAACAAGAATGTGACAGAGGACACACGGGAAGGAAAAAGTGCTCCCTGTGGCCGCCTCCCGGCCCCACTTTCAAAGTACACGAAAAGGGTCTGCGTTCCTAAAATGACGGAATCAGTCAATTAATGGCCAGATGAGACGATGGCCAGCAGCAGTGACCCCGTGGTGCTGACAGACGTGGGTTGTGCACACTGGGCTTGCTTCATCTTGGACACTGGTCAGTAATGACTTTGAAACAGTGAAGGGACCACCCTGAGGGAAGAAGCAAAGCTCGCCCCCGGCCAAGTCCTCAGTTTAAATCAGATTATTATGACCCTGTCACAGGAAGGAAGGCCACAGCGTGCAGTCCATGTTTTAGGAACCGTCCACACATCTGGACAACTCAGCACCTGCCGATGCCGACGGCCTAGAGGCCTCAGGGAGAAGCACCAAGTAAAGCCCACTGACGGCCCCGGAGGCAACCCGCCACCAAGAACAGGCCACATGCCACACCCAGGCCGACAACTCATACACGTGCACATACACACGCCTGCACACACAGGCATTCCTGTGAACACACTTGCACAAGCACACACCTGCACACAAAAGTGCACACACCCATGTGCACACACATGCACACACAAGTGCACACACAAGAAAATACCTGGAAAGCACACTGTGAACACACTTGCACAACCACACACTTGCACACAAAAGTGCACAAACACGAGCAAACTCATGCATGCCCAGGCACCTGTGAACATGTTTGTACAAGTACACACATGCACACCTGTGAACACACACACACACAAGTGCATACACCCACATGCACACCTGTGAACACACACACACGTGCATACACCCACATGCACACACATGGGCACACACATGCATGCATAGGCATGCCTGTGAATACACACATGCACACACAAGTGCACATGCCCACATGCATGCACATGGGCACACACAGGCATGCCTGTAAACACACATGCACACACACACAGTGTTCATAAGGGACCCCATTAGCAGTAACTAGTTTCTACCAAAGGTCAAACTGTTTGTGCATCTTAAAATACACAACTTGGAAAAGACAGAAATGTCTTAAAGTACACTCAATATTCCAGAGGTCTCTAAAGGGAAAAATACTGGAAATGTTTTGTCTAAGTTTTATAAAATATTTCTTGGCTTCTAGAAAAGCAGGAAAAGAAAAGAAAAAAATTACAGGGCAAAGAAATTCTAACACAAACCTAATAACCCTGGTGAATCAAAAATATAATTAGATGGAACCCACTAATTAAATGGCACTAGTTTAATGTGCCTGTACCTTTGCCTAAAATAATGCACCAGAGGATAAAAATTCTTTGAAAATATCCTGTACTTAGGGTATTTTTGCTCTAATACTAAAAATACAATTGTAATGGCCCCGTCCCTGAGCGTTCAGCCACTCTATTTTAAGCTGTCATTTGAGATTTCCCACTTTTTACACTCTAAAATTACAAGTGGCATCGGAGCCCGCTCGGGCACTCGGGCAACGTCTCCAGGCACATCCTTCAGCAGCGTGCACCTGGGAGACCCTGAAGAAGCCAACTCCTGACTGGGGTCCCAGTGACGTGGGTCCACAAGCCTGTGCTCCCGCCCCAGGAAGGCACTCTAAGTCAGCCCAGCACAGGGACAGGTGACACTGCCACCACAGACCACTTCTCTCCAAGCAGTGACCTGGCCACGTTATCTGCACTCTGTGAAATGCAGCCACCGGCATCTCCCCAGGGGTCCTTAAAGTGCGAAGGATGACAATGCCCACGAGTGCCAGCAGAGTCTGCCGGCAGTGCTGGCCCAGGACGCACACGGGAGGTGCCCGCACAGCAAGGGCAGCCTGGCTGTCAATCAGCATCTGGTCAGCCCGCTCGGGACGCCACCAGGGCTTCCTTCCAGCCCTAACTTAAAAGCACGAAGTGTTCAGAACCCCTCAGACAGAAGGAAAAAGTTGTTTCAGTGTGTTTCTTCAAATTAAAAGCGAGAAAACAAGGACCCTCCACACAGGTCACTGTGCTTCTCCGTGACGTCGTTTTCTGATCAGGAGCTGAAACACAATGCAGAAAGCAACACGTTTTTCTTCCAAGTTAATTTTTTTACAGAAATAAATTAGACATTTGGGGACTTCTCTCCTTCACACCAAAGTGAGGAAATTCGATAACCGCCTATGGCACCGACAGCCACAGCCATGTCCCAGGAGGAAGTCCACCCCACAGCCTTTCCGTCTGGACAGGAGGGCACGGGCTGCGGGCACAGGGTGCCTGGAGACCACCCTGTGGCTTCCTGGGGAACGTCCAGGCAGGCAAAGACACCAGCCTCAGGGTGCACAGCACCAGGCCTGCACGGCTCTGGGGAGAGATCCCAGGGAGCTCCCACAGGACGGCACGGGCTGCGGGCCCCAGATCACCCAGAAGGACGTCCTCGGTCTGCAGGTGCACCACCAAAATGCCCCCACTCCTTTCTCATGAGCCCCCTCAGGCCTGGGACCCAAACTGCAGAGGAATTAGGTTTTCTGACCATAAAGGACAGTTGTGTGCAAATCTACGGACATCATCTATAGGGAAACAGAAAAATGACCCACATAGACAGGTTGGCTACTTTCCCGGCTCTTGGATCTGCATTCTACTCGTTTTCATGATGTTGTTTGCACGATGGACCTGGATCCACTACTCAAATTTGGGAGAACCACTTCCAAGACGGAGAAGGTGGTGCTCTGCTCTCCCCGTGAGGGTCAAGAGCTGAGGTCGAAGGCCATTCTAAAGCGCGTTGAGGACCTTCCCATCTGACTCCTGCCCTCTCTCCGTCGTGAAGCCGAGGTTTGCTGACCTGGGCCAGGGCAGAGCTCATCCAGTGGCCAAGCGGGGAGCACAGTGTGGGTCACGTGCCCATCAGACCCCAGCTGCTCACACAAGCCCACGGGGCTGTCTTCAGACCATGGATAAAGGTTCCCCAACCACGAGGAAGACTCTGAAGGTCGTCCCTCTCCCTTCCACTGTTCTCATTCCCATTCACCAGAAGGAGCACGTGCCACCAAAGCTGATGACTGTTCTGCAGGTGCCATCGATTCCCAAAGCAAAACACAGCAAGTCACCCAAGAGCAAGTCAGGCTGACAGGTAAGGGGAGGGAAGGGGGTACGCACGGCTCCCCTGGATCCTGGGCCCCCGTGGAGAAGCCGCCTGCCGTCCTCTCCGATCCAGAGAGTGAGCCCGAGGACGGTGGTTCTGGGGCTGCAGCTGAACTCTGTCCAGTCTCAGGCTCTTACTCACCAGAAACAGAAACTAAGTCTACAGCTTCAGGAGAGGGGCTCCCAAGCCAGCGGCGGACCAGGCCTCGGGGTGTCTGGAAACGCGGAGGGCAGATGCGCTGTCACCATCACTGGGCGGCTGCTGGCATTTAGCCTGCAGGTCCCAGGGGCTGAAAGTCCCACAGGGTGCCAGATGGCCTGTCGGGACACAAGCGACACCGTCCAATGCCCACTCCTTCTGAGAAGCATGGTTAGACGGACAGAGGGTGGACTCACTGTTCCTGACCCTGCAAGGCTCTGCACTGGTGTCCCTGGGAGCGGTTTCCTGGGTCTGGCTGGGACGGAAGTGAGGGCTCTGCCTGAAGTTGCTTAGTATTTCAAGATTTCTCCAGCTGAGAAAACATCTGAGCGGCCTACTGGGACCAAATGGAAACCACATGCAGAACCGCTCACACGGGTTTCGGCTCACTGACCAGTGGAGGTGGGAGGGACAGGGGCTTTGTCATGTGTAGTCACAGTCACATGGCATGAAGTCTACCACGGCTGAAAAAAACATGATGACTGAGATCCACACACAAATACGGGCACAGCTCTTCTCTGCAGTTTAGATCCAGGAGAGAGCGGGCTGGGTCGGCCTTTCTCAGCCCAAGTGCCGAGTTCAAGACAAGGGCATTCTGAAGACCTATAAATCTTTTGTAAAAAATGTTTTACTTTTGTGTTTTCAAACTGATCACAATTACAAGAACAGGTGGAAGAGCAGGCCTTAAATTATTGGAGTGACCATAAATAAAATGGCCCTGCCATCTTGGCACACAGGTTGACATTTGTGTTCATAAAGAAGCAAAGCAGTTGAGCTTATCGTGCAAATGTTTCCCACCAAGTAAAACCCAAGAGCTGGTCTGCTATGCTGCAGGAGGAAAAGCCCCAATCTGTCCACAGACCCAGCGAGAGAGCCAAGTCTTCCCAGGGCCGCTGCAGCAAAGGCCCGGCCCTGGGCTGGGCCCACTGACCCTGCCAGGGAAGCGACGCATCTGCATCAGCTGTGGTTTTATTATTTTGTTCAAGATTAAACTAAAATTTGTTTTAGTATTACAATTGCACAAATTCTGTAACTATGACTAAATCATGCCTACTTTTATTTATTCTAGGAATTTCACATGCAACTCACAGTAAAATAGAAGGAAGTCAGCCCTAGATATGGAAGACATCTAGAACTTGTGGGCCTTCCCACATCACTTTCTTCTGAGAATTCTGACCCCACCCATGATGGACAGACCACACTACAGGCGGCCTGCCTGGCCCAGAGTGAGCAGATGACCCAAGCAAGGCCAGGGTAATTTGGGGAGGACTGATATGAATAAAAATATATCTCCAATACCAGAGGCTCAATGCTCACCTGAGCTACCAGGAAGAAACCTTCTGGGCACGTGGAGAAATCAACAGAATAGGCAAACACAGTGCAGGCCACGGAGGGATGGACCAAGAACAGAGAGGGCAGACAGCACACGGAGAGATAAGAGCACACACACAGACCGACAGACAGACAGGACAGGAGATGAGTGGAAGGAAGGGCAGACAGATGGACGAACAGAGACATAGATAGGATAGAGGGTGGGTGGAGGAAAGGACAGATGGATGAAGAGAGCAACACAGACAGGACAGATGGTGGGTATAGGGAAGGGCAGATGGATGGATAGATAGACAGACAGGACAGATGGTGGGTGGAGGGAAGGGGAGGATGGACAGACAGACAGGCTAGATGGTGGGTGGAGGGAAGGGCAGGATGGACAGATAGATAGGACAGATGGTGGGTAGAGGGAAGGGAAGACAGATGGATGGATAGACAGACAGACAAACAGTACAGATGGTGGGTAGAGGGAAGAGAAGACGAATGGATGCATAGACAGACAGACAGGACAAATGGTGGGTGGAGGAAAGGGCAGAGGGATAGATGGACAGATAGACAGGACAGATGGTAGGTAGAGGGAAGAGCAGATGATGGGTGGATGAATAGATAGACAGGACAGATGGTGGTGGAGGGAAGAGCAGACGATGGATGGATGGATGGATGAATAGATAGACACAGATAAATAGGACAGGTGGTGGGTGGAGGGAAGGGCAGGATGGATGGACAGATAGACAGGAGAGATGGTGGGTGGAGGGAAGAGCAGATGATGGGTGGATGGATAGATAGACAGGACAGATGGTGGGTGGAGGGAAGGTAAGAGAATGGATGGATAGATAGATATTGACAGTCAGGAGAGATGGTGGGTAAATAGATAGATAGACACAGATAGAACAGATGGTGGGAGGAGGGAAGGGCTGATGGATGGATGGATAGACATGGATAGACAGGACAGATGGTGGGTGGAGGGAAGGACAGATGGATGGATAGACATGGATAGACAGGACAGATGGTGGGT